ACACTTAATGTTCCTGAGCTGTACACTTAGAAATGGTTAATGCATTTTGTGTTATGTGTCTTTTACCACAGTTTTTGTTGTTTTTTTTTCGGTCTGGGTTCAATGTGGAGGCTATGCAGGTGACTTGGGAATCTTCACTCTCTGAAGAATGGGCTGGGGGGCCCTTATCTGACCTGGGCACTCCTGGGTCACTGGGGCCCTCGCTTGCCCTGCCCCTGGGCTATCTTTGAACCGGACACTGCTTAGCCGGGCTCTGGTGTCTTGGATGGAATCCATGGGGTCCCCCAACTCTGCTCAGCAGGGTTTGGGTTCAACAGCGAGGACTCCGGGACATTGGTGCCACCCTCACAGGTGGAAATGGTCTGTCACAGACCAGCTGGGAACTGAATTCCTGCTGCAGGCCCTGGTCCCTTTCACTCCCCTCCAGTCCCTTTTGCACCTGTTAACCAGAATGTGCCCTGAAGATGCCTGGCCCCGGTCACTCCTGGTCAGTGGAACCGCGAACCTCGCTGCCTGGTGTGTTGATGGTGCCTTTCTCCCATCCTCGCTGGGGTTGGAATGACCCAACTAGTGGACAGTTCCTGCCAGGAATTGAAGGCCCTATAGCTATACTACCTCCCCTCCATTTAGCTCTTCTCTGGGAGGATGGGCAAATTACTCCAGCTCTCTGAGCCTCAGTGTCCTCGTCTGTAAAATGGGGACAACACAGCAGCCTCGCAGGTTCTGAGAATGAAATGAGATCAGGTGAGCACAGCACAGTCAGTGCATCGTGGAGTTGTTCCACGTGTGGACCAGGTGGCAGAGGGGAAGGAGCACAGGCTCAGAGGACCTAGCTTTGAATACCGGCTCTGCCCCTGGAGTGGCCCTCTCTCGGGGCTGGTGGGAGGATTAAATTCAGCAAGCAAATATACATGGAGCACCTGATACTCAGCAAATGCTCAATCACTTTTTTTGCTGCTTGTCTGGCCAACCATAAGCCATCCTGCTTCTCCTCCTTGCCACCAAATCGCTACCTCTCTCGCTCAGTCCTCCGCTCCCTCCTCCTCGTCCTGCAGGAGGTATTTTATTGTTGCCTTAGCAACCTGTTGCTGGCTGTCAGCTGACCTGTCCCTTGGCACCTGGCACTCTGTAGACTTTCTTACCCTTTGCAAAGAACTTGCACCTGTGTCTTCTTCTGGGTGAACCCACTCACTGTTGATTCATAAGCAGGACAGAGTTGATCCCCAGTGCGCAGATGAGGAAACTGAGACCTGGAGAGGGAAGGAAGGAGGCACTGTTTGAGCACCTGCAACCTGCAGGAGTCATTGCATCCATGAGCTCTGTCACCACAGCCCGAGAGGTAGGAATTATCCTCCCCACTGCATAAATGTCAACATGGAGGCTCAGAGAGGGGCAGCGACTTGTCCAAGGCCACACAGCAAGAACCCGACAGAGGCTGAGTGCAAACCCAGGTCTCTCTGACTCCAGACTCTGGGATTCAGAACAAACATTTGCAATGTGGGGTCAACAGATCTGTTCCCAGGGCTGCTGCAAAGACCAGAGCGGGTAATAGGCGTGAGGGCGCCTGGCACCGTGCTCAAGGCCTGGGAGTAGAAGTGGAATCTTGTCCACCTCCACCTCATCGTATAGAGAACAGAAGTCCAGAAGGTCTGTGACAAGGTCACGGCAAGCAGTCAGCGGGAACCCAAGCGCCCTGCCCCCAGGACCACTCTTTCCCAGTGAAGGGCAGGGGCCATCCCTCCACCTCCCCAGGCCTTCTCCTCCCGGAGAGTGGAAACTTCCCAAGTCCCTCTGACCTTACAGGAAGGTGAAAAGAGCAGGAGTTTCTGCCACGGTACACAAACCTGCAGCCTGGGGCTGGCAGCTGGAGCCCAGGTTTGCCAAGGCTGCTCCTTCAGCCCTCTGCGCCCGCCAGCCCTGGGGCCCTGCAGGAAGACCTCTTGCCCTCCCAATTAATCAGCCGCGAGAGGGACCGGCCCAGAGGCCCGTGTTCTGAGAGGGAGCTAAGAGGTGGGAAGGCCAGGGGAACGGGCACAGTGGTGGGACCCAGACGTAATAAGCTGGTGAGGCAGATCACAGGGCTGGAAATGCTCAGAGCGGAGCCGAGTTCGAGCCCTCTGACCTGTGCTCTTCAAACTTCTACAAAGCTGCTGACCCTTCTTTTCAAATGAAACCCACAGCACATTCTTCGCCCGCCCTCCTCACAGTCACTTAGCACCCCACCCCGCCCCCGGGAGGACCCACCAAGCAGTGAGACCAGAGGGAGAGCAGAGCCGACGGCAGGAGCCCGGTCACCGCGCGGCCCTGGGGTTCTGCTGGCGTGAACAGTTCACAGAGCATCAGCTCGGACAGGGCCACGCTGACGGCGATGGGTCAAGGCTGCTCGGCAGCCACTGCTGAGCACAGACAGAACACGGACATTGTCACAGCCACACAGTGACCAAACGTCCCCCTCTCCCGGCTGGACGATGACAGTCACCCGGGTGCCGTTCACAGCTTCAGCTTGGGGCTGTCCTGCCCCCGGGGGATCAGACCCGTCAGGACGCCGTGCACAGGACTAGCCCTGCTTCCTGACAGTGTCCAACCCAGAGTAGAGCCCTGCTTCCTCACACCCTCCCCCCAAACACCTCCACGAGCCCAAATCCCATCCTAAGTCCTTCCTCACACCCTCCTCGCAGCCAGTCCCCAGGGGTCTGTTCTCACCGCAGTGAGTGATAAACCCAGCCAGAAGCTGCAGGTGAGCTCTGGGTGGTCTGCGGGCACTGGCAGATGGAGTCCATCAGACACCCGCCCCGCCCGAACCCTGCAGAGGGCACACGGGCCCGTGATCTCCCCTTGCGCATGAGGACCCTGGACTGCCCTGGGCAGAACAGCGGGGTGGTCTCCCCATTACACAGCGAGATGGTGGGGGAGCCGGGACTGCAGCCAAAGCCGAGTCTCGCCATCTCTCCCTTCCTCAGATGGGGTCGGCGTCCCTCCACTGGGCCTCACAGGGGAGGCTCTCGGTTCTCTGGCACGGTCTGGGGAATGCCCTGCCATGGTATTTGGGGCCACCGGGGCCCTCCTGAGATTCCACGCCACACGGCTGTCCCACATGGTCACCCCGGTATGTTTGGTGTTCACTTTCCAGAGGGTGCCCATGGAGCCCGCCAGGCATGATGCCTCACTTATCCTGCCCAGAGGGGAACAGGTGGTTTTACGTAAAAGAATTTGCAGGTGAATGAAGGTGACGCCTTTAAATGTTGAAAATATTTTTATTTTAGCCATTCGTGCTGGTGCTGTTTCCGGTGCCAGCCACCCCTCCCCGCCTTAGTAAACAGAGAACAGAACACTCCACCTCGCCCAGTCTGACTCCGGTCATGGGTGGGAACATCTGCTGGGGCACAGGGGGTGTCCCCGAGCACGCCTTTCACTACCGAGAGGCTGTTACACTGGAGGTAGAATCGCCCAGAAAGAAGAAGTGTATTGGGGGGAGGGGAGCTGCGCCTCTCCCACTGCCAGGCCCCCCAGCCCTCGGCAGAGGCCCAGCTCAGGAGAAGGTCCCAGTCCCAGGTGGCCCGGAGTGCAAGCTCTAAGTACAGGGACCTGGTTTGAGGTAGTGCCACTGTCCCTGCCTGTGACGCAGCTGCCAGTCCGTGCTGGGACCCTGAGGCGCGGCAGAGATCAGCGCGCTGAGAGCCTTACTCTGCAAAGCTGCCCCAGTGATTCCCGGGGCTGCTGAAGCAGGCTCCGACCGCTCTGCTGCCTCTGCTGCGCCAATTTCTTAACTTCTCTGTTCCCACCTTGGCTCCTGCTCTGCACTCTGTCCCTAACGTATAAGAAAGGAGCTTACTAGACTGTGAGCCCTTTGAGGACAAAAACTGTTACCAACTCATGTCTCTTTCTCCCTTAAGATCCTGGCTTGGTGTCTGGCACATAGTAGATGCTCAGTAAATGCCACCGAAATCCAATTGAGTTAAGCAAGGAAGTTTCACTCCACCCACAGTCCTAAGCCAATGCTGATGTAGTCTGCAGGGAGGAGGTTTTCCTGGGTGCTTTTTGCCTGGCTTTATGACTCCTATGCAGGCCATTTGGAAGTCTGAATGCCAGAGAGTAAAGGGTCTAAGAGTTAGGGAAGTGGGGGAGGGGACATTATCTGCAAAAGTTTCTGGGTTCTGGTCAGTTCCGTACACCCTCGAGGAGCACCGAGTCTGGACACTGGGGATACCAATGTGAGTAAAGCAAGTACTAGCCTTGCACAGCGTGCTCCAGTGATCAGTGCACAAGACCCAGAGGTGGCACCAAGGAGCCAGGGCTAACTGGTTCCAGGAGGGGTGACATCAGGAAAGGCTGTCAGAGGAAGGGTGTCTGTGCAAGGGTTTGAAGGATGAGCAGAGATCTGCGGGGCAGACAGGTATCAAAGGGCTTCTTGGCGGAGAGGACATCACAGCAAGGGCGCAGGTAGCAGGGTGAGTGTGTGTGGTAGGACTTGGCCTTGGCATTGAGGAGCAGAGGGTGCAGCATGGGGCGGATGGGGGGAACAAGCCAGAAGGTCAGCCATGACCCCAGAGCAACAGGAGCCACAGGACGAATGTGGGCTGGGGGACACGGGGTTAGCTCTGGGTGAGGACAGATCACACCATATACCAGGCAGACCACCAGACTCGGCGGGAACAGAAACCCTGAGAGGCCTTCACAGAAGATCAGAGAACTAGGCGTAGCACCAGAGGGCTCCTATTCAAAGGCCAACTTTGGGGGTAGGCAGAGAAGGCTCTTGAGGGTCCCCAGCTACTGCAGATCTTCTCAATGAATCACATTTTACCTTAAAAGCTGTAACCCCCAAAATAACAACTGGAATAGCAAGGATCCATCGCAAGTAATCATCACTTCCCCAAATTTCTTTACAATGTACCAAGTGCTCTAGAATCCACCCTCTCATCTGAGCCTCCACACAACCTCATTTTGCAGAGAGGGAAACCGAGGCCCTGTGAAATCGCACAGGGATACTGGCTGGCGCCATGCTAGTAGTACCCAGGGACAGTTCCATCCAAGCCCTGAGCATCAGGCTCAAAGCCCAGCTCCTTGTCTGGGAGGGGGTCTCCAGGGCTGTCCGGCAGCCCATAGTACAAGTCCTCCTCCTCCTGCTCCGGCTCCTCTGCGCCTGTGTCCGAAGCTGCCTCCTCCTCTTTCGTCCTCGGGGACGGCTGCCAGTGGCCGGGCAGGGCTGCGTCCCGCCACTGCCCCTCTGGAGATGTGTCCTCTGATGTGGGGGCATCGATCAGAGCAAAGTCATGGAAGTGGTCCAGCTGGCACCGGCAGGCCCAGGGCTCCCCTGGCAGGGGGCCAGGCTCCTCCCTCTCAGGTGGAGAGGGGGCGGGGCTGCCACTCTCACTGGAGCCCACATCCAGGTCATCTTGGAAGGAAGCCAAGGGTGCAGGGCCTTGGGGACCAGCTGGGGAGCTGCAGGGGAAAGCCAGAGAGGGCAAGGGTAGTTCCGAGTCAGACTGCCTAGGTCTAAACCTCAGCCACTGGCTGCAAGGCCGGGGCAGGTGAGCTCACCTGTCCGGGCCTCAGTTCCCTCCCTGTGAGGCAGAGAAAATAATAATATTCACTTCTTCCGCGTCTCTGAGGTTTATAGCAGATTGTGCGTGCAAAGCACTTTGCACAATGCCTGGCACATAGTAGGTGCTCAAGAAATGAGCTATTATCATGTAATTATCCAAACTAGATCACTCTTTCACTTCTCCAATCGTTCAGGGTTCTCTGCTGGGCCCTCAGCCCCCATCACACCAGCTGTCACCTCTGTCCCCTCACCTGCTTCCCCCATTGGACTGGGAGCTCCTGCGAGGTGGGGGCCATCAAGGCCTGGCAGGGAGTAGGTGCCCCGTAACGGTGAGTAAATAGGTGGATGGATGAGGAATTCAGCTCATGAACATCCAGGGCTGGGGTGGGTGGGGAGTGACCTGCCCAAGGTCATGGGGCCCATCAGTGCAGAGTCTGGATTTGAGCTCAGGCCCTCTGGCTCCATGCCCCCGCTACACATGACAAGCATTCACACGGTAGAGGCCTGTGGTATGCCTGATGCTTAAATACACTGTCCCAGCCCGGCCAGTGTGGCTCAGTGGTTGAGCATCGACCCATGCACCAAGAGGTCGCCGGTTCGATTTCCGGTCAGGACACATGCCCAGTTGTGGGCCAAATCCCCAGTGGAGGGCATGCAGGAGGTGGGCGATCAATGTTCTCTCTTGCGATGTCTCTATCTCTCTCTCCCTCTCCCTTCCTCTCTCTTAAATCAATAAAGAAAAAAATTAAAATAAATAAATACACTGTCCCAATCTTCACAGCACCCCTCTGAGGTAGGAGCGATTATTCCCATGTGGGGAAACTGAGGCTCAGGAGGGTAAGACTCTTGCCAAGGTCACACGGCAGAGCTGCTGGGATTTGAACCCAGGCCTATCTAAGCCCAGACCCTCCTCTGCTACACTGTCCTGTCTACTCCCAAATGTGCCCAACCAGCCCTCATCGGCCCACATCCCTCCTCCTCCACCCCAGAAGTGGGCAGCATCCCCACTCCCGGGCTCTCCACACTCGCCTGGGACTGCTCTGGGTTGGGTTTCTTTCTCCTTCATCCTCATCCGAGCCCCTGTGGACGACCACGGCAGCCTCCATCCAGGCCTGAGCGTCATGGGGGCCACCTTCCCCTCTCCCGCTGGCTTCCGGCCGCTGCCGTCCTGGCTCCAGCAGGGGGCGAGGGTCCTCACTGTAGCCCAAGACCTTCATCCGGATGTGGCTGAAGTCTGGCAGGCTCTGGTCATAGGCGGCTTCCTCCCACAGCCTTACGTAGGCGGGCTGGGTGCTGGGGGAGCAGGGCAGACGGCAGGAGAGAACAGGCGGGTGGGCGAAGATCCCTTCCAGACACCAGTGCCTGCCGTGCCCTGGCCCACCTGGTCTGCCACCTGGTCTGCCCAGATCTCAAAGAAGCCCTTACGGGTCATCCCTGTACCTAGTTCACGGGTGAGGGGTCAGGCCCAGCAAGGTAAGGCAGGTGGCAGAGCTGACACTCGGTCCCGTGTCCCTTTCACTCTGTGTCTCCCGAGTTAACCCCAAGGGTGCAACTGCGGACCGAAGACAGTCTCACTGACAGTTTCCCGGGTTCCACACAGTGGACTAGAGGCTCTCTACTTGTTTCCCGTTTATTCTGAACGAGACCTTTCAGCAGAATAACTGATCCCGTTTTCCAGACGCGGACCCAGCAGCAGGAATTAGCAGCTACTGAGTGCTCCTTGCCTGCCGGGCTCTGTCACTATAACTGGGAGACACTGGAGGAAACCGAGGCACAGAGAGTTTATCGGGCTTGCCCTGGTGACTCGGACCCTTGGCGTCAGTGCTGGGGCTCCAGACATCACGTTTTCTACTGCTCTCTACAGTCCCTCCAGAAAGTGAAGTTCAGAGACTATTTCCCGCCCAGGGTCCACAGCTGGGAAGTGACAGGGAGGAGCCTGGGATCTGTCACAGCAGCTCCCCCCGTGTGACGGGCTGAGGCTGTCTCCGTGCCCACCCAGGGTCTGTCACCTCATCTCCCAGGAATATCTGGTCGCTCTGTGTGCCAGGAACAGAAAATACCATCGCGACCTCCTTTCCCAAGCAAAGTGGAGAGAGGTCCAGAGCCCCAGCCACAGACCCTGGACCGGCAGCCTGGCCCTCTGAACACGGAGCTACAGCCGCCAGGGGCAGGAAGGGGCGCCGGTCCCCCGTCCCTCCCGGCTGAGTGATCTGCAGTGTCCTGGCGAGCCACGGTTTGGCACCTTCAGGGACAAAGCCCCTGGTCTGATCTGTCACTGGTTCCCTGGGAGGCTCCTCGAGTCTCAGTTTCCACCTGTGTAGAAAGGGCTGGACACCCTCCCTCCCGGCTCACAGGGTTTCTATGAGGACTGGGGGAGGTAATGGGTGCAAGTGTCTGATTCGGTCTCTGGTGCAAAGGACGCTCCTCTTACAGGTGATGATAAACACGTAGAAAGGGCCTTCTGGGCGCCAGGTTCTGCTCTTAGCACTTTGCTTCTATTACCATCTCACTGACCCCTCCCCGAGCCCCCAGGAGGAAGGGACCATTAGCGTCCACAGTTCACAGAGGGGGCAAAGAGGTACCTGAGTTTCAAAGCCACACAGCCAGGAGGAGGCAGAGCCCAGGGCTGTGCCTTGCCCACCACCAGGCCTCGCGCTGTTTGCTGTAGCAACAGTATCACAGCTCTTCGGGAGTTAGGGTCAAACCTGATTTTGATTTTGGGTCTGACGCTAGTTCACTGTAAGACAGGATAAAGTCCCTGAGCCTCAGTTTCCTCATCTGTAAAATGGGAACAGTAATGCTTGCCTCACAGAAGTAAGAGTTCCAAACAACCCATGATTTCTAACAGTGTGTTCTTAGTGAGGTGGGAAGGCCTAGCCAAAGCCTGGAGCAAGGGGAGGAGACACTGTCCACCCCTCCCCCCACTCCCTCTGCTCCTCTGTAAGGGGAGACTTCCTGGTGCCTCCCTGAGGGGCTCACGGCCCCTCCCCTCCAGCCGCTGCCCACCCCAGGCACAGAGGGCCCAGCATCTACCTCTTCATGTCCGCAGCGAGTGCATTCTCCAGCAAGCCCGGCGGCTTCGGGGCCTGGACGCCTTGGAATTCAGAGTCAGCAGGGATGAAGGCGATCTGCAGGGCAAAGGGGAGAAGGCTTCTCTGCGGCTGCCCACACAGCTCTCCGCATGCCCTGGGGGAGAAGCTCCACCGGGGAGGGCCTCCCCTTTGCCAGGAGAGGGGTCTGCTCAGGGCCAGGGCCAGAGGGTGGATGGCTCCCCGGGCTCCTGCGCCCACCTGGCCCTACATTCACCCACCGACCTGTGTCGAGCACCCGCTGTGGGCAGCCACTCTCCTGGGGCCTCGGGGTCGCAGGAAGTGAATGGGACACACTGCCCGAGGGTTGCTCACATCTCCTCATTTACCAGGTCCTCACCCAGTGCCCAGCTGCGCCTGCACTTCGTCCACATCTGGTGAACGAGTGGAAAGCAGGTCACTGTCATGTGTTTCTCGGCAGAGGCTGTGGTGGGGGACAGGCTGTGGTGTGCCCACCAGTCCTTGTCCCTGAACTTTTAGGGATCAAGAGGTCTCTGCAAGTGCAGCCCCATAGGCTGGGCACAGGTGGTGGAAAGGAGGTGGGTCATTTTTTTAACTTTTTAATTTTTTATCCTCACCCGAGGACATTTTAGCATTTATCTTCAGATAGAGCAGGAGTGAGAGAGGAAAGAGAGAGAGAGAAACATCGATGTGATCAACCTGTTGCCACCACAAGACCCCAACTGGGGCCATGGACAAACTGCAACTGAGATACGTGTCCTTAGCGGGAACTGAACCCAGGTCTCTCTGGTCAGCGGGCCCACGCTCTAACCGCTGAGCCAAACCGGCCAGGGCAGGGAGGCGAGTCATAAAGAAGGCAGTGGAAGGAGGCAGAGGAGCCTGCCTTGGGGTCTGGGAGACTAGAGGAGAATCCTCCCGTGGGCAGATCGTCTCCCCCCGGAGCCTCTCTGCCCTCCTGTGAAATGGACATAGCCTCCAAGAGATACTGGCTGCATGCTTCACAGTCGTCAAGAGGTAAAGCAGCCCAGGTGTCCCTACACGGATGGATGAGAAAACGAAATGCGGTCTATGCGTGCAGCGGAGCGCTACCCAGCCTGAAAAAGGATGGACTTCTGCCACCAGCTACTACATGGCTGACACGCGAAGGAATACGCCAGTCACAGAAAGACAGGTTCTGTCTGACTCCATGTATATGCAGCATCTTGAATTGTCAAAGGCAGAGTCAGAAAGTAGGACGGTGGTGGCCACAGACTGGAGGGAGGGGGTGAGGAGTTATTGTTTATGGGTGAAGAGTTGCAAGTCGGGAAGGGCTCTGGAGATCTGTTGCACAACAATGTAAAGGTAGTTAACCCTTAAAAATGGTTGGGATGGCAAATTTTATGTTGTGTATTTTACCACTATTTTTAAAAATAAGACTAGCAATGCCTGTCTCCGGGGGTTGCTGTGAGGGTTCATGAGAGGATAAATAGGAATCCCCCAGCACAGAGCCTGGCACATAGCAGCTGCTCAGTAAATACTAGTTTGACACAACTGAAGATGAAGTTACCTTCTGAGTCCTGCTCTCATCTGGAAATTTGTTCAATGAATATTTGATGAGGCCCTTCTGTGTTATACCAGGTTCATAAATAGCAGCACCCTTTTCCCTTCCCATAGAGTGCAGTGAGTAAGACACTTGTCGGCTTCGGAAAAGCTCCATCCGACTGGGGAGATGGGAATGATGGATGGAGGGGATCTCAGAACTCCTGGGAGGGGTAAGCTTCCTCCAAATGTCTGGACATAAGGCAGGAGCCCAGGTGTCTTCCACACCCACTAAGGATGCCCTGCACTTGCCAGCTACTCTGTACTTTGAAGAAGCTGTCCCTTCCTCTGCCTCAATGTCTCCCAGTCACCATCTTCCTCCTTCTCATCATCACCACCATCATCATCACCACCACACACAGCAGGTACTATGCGTTTGATGAACTAGAAGTGTCTTCTCAGTTCCTATGGTCTTGAGTTCAAATTCTACGATAGTCCATCATCTCTCACTTATACCAGAGAAGGAGCCTCCCCCACTGGTCAGGCTGTGCCTGGACCTTTCTCCGCCCCATGTTGGCCTGATAACTTTCTTGAACTACAAAGCTGATCATGTCCCTCTCTTGTCCTATCAACTAAAGGGCAAGGTCCAAATTCCTTAGCGCGGCATCTCAGGCCCTGCAGAGCTGAGCCCTACTCCCTCTTCTCCTTCCCCTTCCCCTCTTCATCACCCATGCCCACCCCTGTAGCCATGCTGACCCCCTGCCTTGCTCTTTCACCTCGTGTCTTTGATCATGCTGTTCCTTCTGCCTGGAATGTCTTCCCCTTCTTCTCTGCCTGAAGAACTTCTACTTAGTGCACAAAACCCAGCTCATGTATCTGTGAAGCCTACACCCTCCCCATCAGGCAGAAAATTGTCTTCCCTGCAAGACCCCCCAGCCCCTCAAAGATAGGGACAGCTTAATTCATGTTGGTATTGGCTACCGCTAACCCCCATACTTTAACTGGCTGATTCTAGTCCCCTATAATTAATCACATTTCTTTCGATCTAGGAATTCCCATTTGTTAGCTGCTGAGCCAAGGGAGGGTGCCAAGGGGAGGGTGGGCATGTCCTGAGGGTTTAAACAGCCCCAGCCCCAAGGAGACAGTGTTGGGGACAAGACTTCCCTATCTAGTATGCCTCCTTGGTTGACAACACACTGCCTCCCTCCCCTGGGTGTGCCAGATCTAACACCCACACCTGCACACACACAGAGCCCGCCAAGGCCACAAACACCACTCCTGAGAACAGTGCCCGGAACCAGCTCTGTGCCAGGTGTAACGCTGGGTCCCCCGTACAAGACCCCACTGGGTTCCTCCCACTTGGCTCGGGAGGCAGGGAAACTCCCTCTGACAAGGTCACAGAAGTGGGGCAGGAGGGAGGAGGGATTTGAATCTGGGCCTGTCGGACACTAAAGCATGCCCCCTCCCCCCCACCGCTGCCTCCACGGCACAGGGACACGTGAATCTGTCAACAGTTACTCATTAATACACAGCAGTATTCCCTCTCCCCTCGCTCCCCCTCCTCTGCCGCTGCCACCCCGTCACTGCCCACCACCCAGAGCCGCCTCCAGTAAAGGCAGGGAGGACAGTGAGGACACTACCCTCTGCACCCCAGCTGCCCCCAGGATCCAACCTCATCACTGGAAGGAGGAGGAGGATGAAAGTGGTTACATGGGGGTGGCTTCGGGCCCCAAGCACCTCTTCTCCTGGTGACCTCAGAGCTTTGCACAGACAGGCGAGTTGACTGTAAACTGCTGGGTGTGACTACAAACCAGCCAGGACCGCCCAGCACCAAACATTCTGACAGCCTGGGGCTGGCCCATGGAGGGGGCAGGGCTGGGGAGAGCTGGGCCCAGTCCCCAAGGAGCCTCCTCCCTCCTGCCTCTTCCCCTGAACACCCCCCAGCACAGCCACCCAAGTGGGAGTAAGGACAGGACTGCAGGTGGTGGGGGCTGCCTGGGGCTTAGAGCCCTAGATGTCCAGACCAGCAGGGCCCTTAGAGGTACCCCCTTTCTCACCCCCTCTTCCTGACTCACATACTGTACAAATGAGGACACTGAGGCTCAGAGAGGGAAGGGGCTTAACAAAGTCTCCCAAGCAGTTAGAATTGAGCCCAAGTTAGAATCCATGCTTCTCTTCTTGTCTCCCTGGATCTGTCTGACCAGCTGTGTGACCATGGAAAAGCCACACAACCTCTCTGAACACTAACGGTTTACAACTCCTGACACGCTCATTCCACAGGGTTGTTGGGAGGATCAGTAACAGTAAGGGTGGCAGCTGTTCACCTAAATATAATACTCTACAGTTTATAAAACATTCCTACATCCTATCTCTTCTCTGTTCATAATAACTCTGAGCTGGAAGAAATCGGGGCTTGGGGCTCCATTCTGCATATGTAAGAAACTGAGGCTCAGAAAGACAAAGGCCACACAGAGTTTGGGGCAGAGCTGGAACTAGAACTCGGGACTCCCAAACCAATGCTCCTCCCATCACTAAGTCACTCGCAAGGCCAGGCGTGCTGGTAACTCTGAAGGATAGAGCACCGACCAATCCAAGCCTTCGAGGCTGCACCGGACCCACCCAGAACTCAGCGGCTGGGGTACACGGGACAGCCCTCCCAGGTAGAGGGTTATGCCTTAAGTCACGCACACCTGAGCTCGGAGTCTGGCACGTAGGAGAGGTGGGACCTCACCTTTCTGAGCCTTGGGCTTCTGCACTGGAAAATGAAACTACGGGGGTGCAAAGGCTTCGGAGGTGCCTGCACCGCACCGCGGCTGGGGGAGCGCCTGGCAAGCGGCAAGCGCTCGTTTACTCTGGTCGCTAGCACACGGGTGCGTGTGTGCTGGGTTTCATTGTGTCTCGCATGGGCCTAGATCCCGGAGGGCTTCTGATCAATCTTTATGAAAAGAGAGGGAGGGAGGGATGGATGGATGGATGGATGGACGGACGGAAGGAGGGATGATCAGGAGAGTGGAGAGAAGACAGGGAGTGGTAAGGGGGGGTAGGAGAAAATGACTGAAGGACGGGGCATCATGCCTGGAATAGAGGCTCAACCCCCTGCCCTCCCGGCCCAGGCCCAGCTGACCTGCCCCACCGCTGCCTACCTTGGGGTAGCACTGGCACATGCTCCAGATGACGCCCCCGATCACCATGACGCTGCCCATGGCATAGAAGGTGCCGTAGACCTGGGGCCGGTCGTGGCTCATGAGGAACGTGCCAAGGGCCAGCAGGAAGAGCCCCAGCACGATGAAGCCGATGCGGAAGGTCTTCTCGTCCGCCATGGCTATTCCGCCAGGCCACGGTCAGTGCACCGCCCGCGGAGGGGCGCCCGCGGACCAGCGTGGACGCCCGGGCACCGCACCCAGTGGATGACGCTGCGGGATGGCCGCAAATCCCGACCTACAGGTGAAGAGGGGCAGGCTCCCTCGGTCCAGCTGCAGCTCCTGGGCGCACGCCCTCGCCAGGCTGCAGGAGCCACGCTTCAGTGGCCTCTGCCCCCACCACCACCTTCACTCTCTGTCACCTTCCCTCTGGGCCCAGCTAGAGTGTGTGTGTGTGACTGTGAGTGAGGGAGAAGCCAGGAGGGAGAGGGGGTGGCTACAGGAGCTGGGGCCCAGCCAGGGATTTGACATCACCTCATTTGCCTGTGTGGGGCTGAGCTGGGTGGACAGGCGGCCCCATGCCATCCAGTCATGGGAAACTGGGTCCAGTGCCACAGCCAAAACACATCAGAATACCGCTGGAAGATTCCAGGATCCCACAGCCCGGCATTTAGAATCTTGAGCATTCTAGACTCTTCAAGGTCAAGTGCCCATCTGAGGTTCAGGAGTGTAGCCCATATTTACTGGATGGTGGCTGTGCATGGCCCCATTCTGAATATGGTATAGATAGGACTCATTTAAGGGGAACCCTTGAGGCAGGCACTACTATCACACTTTATGAGGACCCCGATGCACAGACAAATCACTTGCCCAACATCACACAGCTAGAAATGGCACAGCAGTTGGGATTTGAACGCAGAGGCCGTGCCCCTAGCCCCTAGCCATGGGATACTCCCTAACTGTAGTAGGAAGGTTAAAAGTTTGGGCTCCAGGGGCCAGGGCACATTGCCTGGGCTTGGGTTCTGGGTCCTCTACTGTGGGGCAGTGTGGCCTTGATCAAGTTGCTTCCCTGTGCCTCAGTTTTCCTCTTCTGTAAAATGGGGTTAATTGCAGCATTTCCCAGAACAGAGCTATGTGCATGGCCTCCCTGGATTTCTCTGTGAGCTGCTCCCAGAAAGGTACCTAGATCCTGGCAAACATCCTCGCCTCCTCTCTCTGCAGGGAGTGAATGACTGACAGCAATTCCTTGCCTTCTAAACTAGGAAGATGCCTTAATTCTAAGATTGACATTGTAATCGTGGGATTCCAGTTCTGGGGACAGGCTGATGGGAAAAATCAGATTCCCTTACAGGATTATAGGAAAATGAGGACCATCCGTGTCTCTAAAAGAAAACGTTAACTTATCATTTGTACAGGGCTCATTTGCTAACGTGGGCTGGTGGCTTCTATTTGGCATCCTGACTTAGTAGGTTGGGGATTTTCCTGTGTGTTGTGGTCACCATCTCCTTCATCCCCAACAGCAGCTGTGCTTCGAACACCATCCCCACGCTCACACCATACCCTCTGCCTGCTGTTCTGCACACACACACTTTTCCAGCAGCAGTTTCTCCTTCACCAGCCCTGAGATCCCCCCGGGCTGCGCCCTACTGTTTGTAGAGGAGGTCCCCTGTCACAGAGCTCAGGAGAGCCTCCCAATGAAAGGTTGCTGAGATCTCAGAGAAGGGCTGAGAGTCACCAGGTCATGTCCAGGTCTGATTTCCTGAGCTGGTGGCTCCGCTCTTGGCTTTAGTTTTGTCACCTGAGGACTGAGGGTGGTATCAGGGCCACCTGCTTGGTATTGTGCCGGTAAGTGACCTAATGGAGGACAAAATGCTTTGCAATCCGTGCTTATCAATAGGGCGAGACCCACCAAAGATACACTATTATCATCATCTTACAGAGAGGAGCAGAAAAGGGAAGCCACGAGTATCCTTCCCAGAAATAGAAACGGAGGTCCAGAGCCGCCTCAGCCTGCCCTCTCTGGTCCTGGCTTCCTGGGGGAGGATCTCCGCGGTCGCAGTCCAGCAGGAGCCTCTCGCGCCCCCTTGTGGCGGTGTAGCACGTGGCAAGGCGCTTTCACACCCTTTGGGTCATGCTGGGGTCCCTCTCCCTGGAGAGGAGCACAGGGAAGGGGTTATCATGCCCATTTTACAGGCGAAGAAACTGAGGCCGGGGAGGGGGAGGGACTGGCAAGATCTCCCCAAGCTGAGTTTGTGGTTGAGCGGGGACTGGGACCCACATAGTCCCAGCCTCAATGCTGATGGATCTGGTGCTCAGCCATTCCTGAGAGGCCTGCCAGTCACCAGAGCACTGCCTCCTCTCCCCACCTTTCCTTTCCTCTCTACGACTCCTTTACCCTTTTATTCTCCTCTTGTAAAAAAATGAAAATGTGAGTGACGAGTAAGAAGCTGTGGGACAAGTAGGTGCTCCGTAAAATCTAACCTCCTCCACAGAGCCGTGGGGAGATAAACGGGAACAGAGGTGTGGACGGTGCTCTGGCGGTGTTGGGTTGAGGAGTCTCTTGACTCCCAGCAGAGGGCGCGCCAACCACTGTTTTCTCCCTGTCCACAGAATTAGGATCCTCTAAACATCCTCAGAGGCAGGGAGGGGAAAGATCACACTTATTTGACAGATGCAGATGCTGAGGTCCATGGAGGCAAGGTGAGTGTCTCGAGGTCTCAGAACCTGTACTTAGTAGAACCAGGATTCAAACCAGGTCCCCTCAGTCTCTTGTTGACTACCTGTATGTGCAGGACACTCAGAGGTATGAAGCATGCTGATAAACGGGGTTTCAAAGAGTGATGGGACTTTGTCCTAACTTCTGGGATAAAATGTGGTTAAGGCGCTGAGATAAGTGTGAGGTCCAGGATGTGCACAAAGCAGAGAGGGATAGACTCCAGGGTTTGGATGAGGAATGAAGGGAGATTCGCAGAAGGGATCCTTGAGGAGTCAGCTGGAGTTCTGTCAGGGCAATAAAAGCAGTTCAGACAGAGACCAGCATGTGCAAAAGCCCAGGGGCAAGTAAGCACTGACACATGGCTGGAGATAAAACTCTAAATGCTATGGACACATTTGCCCCTATACTATCTACTCCTCCCCTTCCTCCCCAGATCTACTCCCCCCAGGTCCCAGGTCAACTGCAGCCTTCCAGTGTTCTCCAGGCCAGTACCCAGATCCTGGCAAACATCCTCGCCTCCTCTCTCACTCCTACATCCTGTTGGCTCTACCTCCAAGGTACGAGAACCCAATCACTTCTCACCTGCCACTACCCATCAGCCTGGTCTGAGCACCCATCATCTCTGTCCCCCTAAGTGCTCTCTGCTTTTCCTCTTGCCCCCTGAAATCTCCTTCCAATCCAAATGCCAGGTCAGACCTTGTCACTCCTGCTCAGAGCCCTGAAATTATTTACTGTCTTATCAGAGTAAAAGCCAAAGACCTCAAAATAGCCTGTAAGACCTTAGATAATCTGCCCATGTCGCCCACTCCATCATTCCTCTGAGCTCACCTTCTGCCATGCCCCCCCCCCCCCATCCACTCCATTCCAACCACCCTAGCTCCATGCTCTCCTATTGGTGAAATTCCCCAGCTGGGGCAGTGACTTGATCAAGGTCAACAGCACCTTGGAGGCTCAGTCACACAGGCACCCCAGGGCCTTTGCACTTGCTGTTGCTGCTGCCTGGTACGCTCTTCCTCCAGATATCTATATGGCTCCCTCCCTTACCTTATTCAAGTCTTTGTCCAAAAGTCAGCTTTACCTTGAGGTCTTCCCTGGTAGTATATCACCATCTCCCTAGGTGTTCCCTGTCCTCATTTCCAGATTTACATCTCTACGTAGTACTCATTGCCATCTTTCATACTACACACATTATTTATTTAGTTTGTCTCTTGTCTGTCTCCCCTCAACTAGAACTGAAGTGCTCGCAGTGGGGACTCTGTTTTGTTCACTGTGGTATCCTCGGGTGCTGGAACAGGATAGGCTCTGGATTCATATTTGGGAATGGAGAGATGGACATAAGTTCCAGAGGAGAGGGATGCCGGAGAGGAAGCACGGGCTGGAACCTGCTGGGGCCATGCCAAGGTATCCGGCATCTTTCTCAGGCATCAACAGAGAGCCCCTAGTGTTGTAACGTGTCAGCGAGATAACCAGAGACGCACAGCCGAACTCTAAAGGGGCACTTCACTACACCGGTGGGCTGGGGGGGTTACAGCTTCCCCAGATCCTCAGCACCAGATTCTCCTAAAGGGGCACTTCATTACACCGGTGGGCTGGGGGGGTCACAGCTTCCCCAGATCCTCAGCACCAGATTCTCCTATAGGGGCACTTCATTACACCGGTGGGCTGGGGGGGTTACAGCTTCCCCAGAACCTCAGCACCAGATTCTCCTTGCTCGTCTGATTTTAAAGACAGAGCGCCCCCACCTCGGGGAACTGGTACAATAGTGGATGTGACAGGGATTACAGAAGTCAGAATTAGCATTACTCACATTATTCACTGGGCTCACAAGTACCTGCAAATACCGACTGCAAATGCCTCCCAACACGTGGGGCAACTATAATCTTAGGCAAAATTCCTTTACTTCTAGGGGTAATTAATCTATTATTGGAAAAATATCCAGGAAGGTGCACTGATGATAAAAATGGAATCTAGTGGCCTTAGCCTCGGGGCCCAGGTCACTAGAAGGGTCACTAGGGGAAGGACAGATCGGATAGTAATTTTACAGGGGCCTCAGGTTTCCAGGCAGGTTGACAGGAGCAGGAGACGGCGGAGTCAGGAGCAGTTGCCAGGCTGCAGCAGAAATCCAGGGGGACAAGGACAAAAGTGAACCATTTTAAAAGCGATTAGTTGCTGGGAGAGGAGGGCGGGTGGTGTGGAAACTTACAACTGAGAAACTTCTGACTGATCTGAGGTGGAGGCTGCAGGGGTGGGGTCGCCGGCCCCCCAGGGGATAAGCTGAGGGGAAGTGTGGGAGAGGCCTGAGCCTGAGGGTCCCTGACATCCCAGGCGTGGTGGCACCGGCTGTGGGCTCTGAGTACCGGGGGAAGAAGCCAACCGCCAGGCCCAGGAGGAAGGAAAGTAGGAAGCAAACGGGTGCCTGGTGGGGGCTGTGGGTGGCAGACCCGGCCTCACTGGCTCCTCCGCCCCACGCCCTGCCAGCGAGCACAGGGCCACTGTTCACAGCGAGGCCACTGCAGCTCAGAAGGGTTAGGGGGTTTGCCTGACGGGAGGCTGACGCCATAGCCCTGACTCAGCCTCCAAGGTGCTGGTGACCTTGAGCAAGTCACTGCCCATGCTGGGGGCGCTCACAGATTGGTTGGTATAGAAAGAAAAGCAGAAGAGGTTTTTCCAGGCTCCCAGCCCTCCCCACCCTCTACACCTGCAGCTCCTGCCAGGCAAAGGTGGTGCCTCCCAGCCAACCTGCAACTCATTAACTCACCTGCCTCGGGGAGATTCCTCACTTTGGGGTAGGAGGGAGGCTGGGCTCTGCTTCCCAGCCTGGGACCCCATTAACCCTTTAGGAATTTCAGAAAGCCTGACAAATCCCCACCCCATCCTCGAGATACCTATGGGAAACTGGTGTGTGTGTGGGGGGGGGGGTAGCTCAAGGTCTGGCTCTGCCTTTATTCTCTGACTTGACCTCCCTGAGCTCAGTTTCCACATCCGTTAAATGGGACCACCTGCAGCAGAGCAGGCTTGAGGATGTAAAACCATGGCAGAGGGCCTGGCCCAGCATAAAGTAGGCCCTCGAGGAATGCCACCTTTGTCCAGCTGACTGAGCCCCAGGAACCTGAACCCCTGCTTGCCGTGTGACCCTGGAAAGGTTACTTAACCTCTCTGAGCTGGTTTTCTCATCTGTGAATGGGGTGGTGTAGAGATGTAGGGATGCAGAATATAGCTGGACAGAAAGCAGACATTTCTGCCGTATCTGGAAAGGGAGGAGAGGTAGCCAGCTCCCTGTCACAGGAGATACTGGAGCAGAAGCTGAATTTGCCCTTGGTGGAGCGGGGGTTACCTCTGCTAGCCAACTCTGACAATCACTACGGACCTAACAGACACCTGCCACGGGGCTGAGAGATCTGCATTTATTTGATTTGTTAGCACTGAGCCTGCGCGAAGCTTCGATGTCAGCTGCTACTATCCCATTTAATCCGCACAGTGGAAGCTGGTGTCACTGTAATTCCCAATTCCCATTTGCAGAGGACACTGAGGCAGAAAGGGGTCAAGTCACTTGTCTAAGGTCACTCAGCTAGCACATGGTGGAACCCAGGCACAGGTGGTTTGAATGTAGAGTTCATGTCCTTTGGGTTATAAATTCAGTGTGTGACCTGACTCTGCCTCAGGGCCGGTTGTCGCACCTGCGCGGTAAGATCCGCCGGCAGCCGCTCCACCTGCCAGCCAGGTGAGTGCACCCTCATGGACACTCTGGCCCAGCTGGGCCCAAGGCTGCAGCCCCACAGGCATCACCTGGGGCAGAAGAACCACCCAGCTGGCCCCAGGCAACCCACAGAGTCAGGAGAGATAAGAAACGGATTTATTTCAGGCCATCTGTTACATAGCAATGGGCAGATAAAACAGCGCTGAGAAACACACTCGCTGAGTGCCTACTGTGAACCAGCCTCTGTATTAGACGCTAGAAGAAGCTCATGGTTTGTCCCTGGATTCGGGCCCGCTAGGGGCCTTCGGCTTCCTCCTACTGTGGTCTGAATGGCCGGGCAGCGCCAGGTGTTTCTCTCCAGGGACAGCAGCAGCAGCAAGGACGACGCTCTCGTAGCTGGGAGGAGGCAAGGCGGGCTGGGTGCCCCGCAGGGCAGCCCCAGAGGCACTGCACGTCAGGTCTTCCTCCAAGGGGTACGCAGGTGGTGCCAGGGACCCCTCAACCAGTGCGCAGCTCATGGCCTCCTCATAAGTGGGGACAGCAACAAGCTTTGGGGTCCTAGAGGGACAAGAGAAGAGAGACTATCAGCAAGGGCGAGGGCAAAACATACTGCATGCCAGGGAGAGGGATGAAGGCTGGGGGCAGGAAGGCGGCATGCCCTGGGCCAGATTCTTTGCGGGTCCCCCAGAGTCCCTATACACACTTGGAGCTTGGCCTGAGCTGCCCCTGCCAACCTCAGACCCCCTGTCCCCCCCCCTGTGCTCACCTCAGTTCTCTCTGCAGGGCAAGTCCTCACCTCCCCCACCCTCCCCTGCTGCTCAGTCCCCACGTGTCCTCTGAGACTCCTCTGGGAAGCTCTCCCGACTGCACCTCCCCAGCAAAGCTCCCGCTCCCGGCCCTGGGCTCCCACAGTGCTCCCCTCTGTCTCCACACTGGCCCGCCTGGTGTCTTCTAGGGCAGGGACTGGCTTTGAGTGTCCCGGGGCTGAGGGCAGGTGCTGGGGGTGTCTGCTGAAAGACTGAGTGATGGATGGTCCATGGGCAGAAAGGCTCCCAGCTCACTGCACTGTCTCTTACAAGGGCCGGAGTTGCGGATGCTCAGAGCAGGCTGGGAGACCTCAACTCTTGTGCCCAGCTGGACGCCTGAGGCCCTGAGGTGGTAAGTCCACCCAGTGAGTACGTCTGCTTGTCTACCTCCGAGATGAACTCAACCTCGTCTATCTCTGAGCAGCGTGGCTTTCCTGAGACTGGCCTCCAGCTCCCTGAAATGAACTACCACAGGGACTCGAGCACAGACCAACCCTCTGAGGCGCCTCTGACCAGGCTCTGCAGCTACAGTCCAAGAACAGGTCCCCACATCCCATCCACGCCGGCCCTCAGTCCTCTCGGGGCCCCGGTGGGTCGCCTCGGGAGTCCCTTTCCCTCCCCCTCGTAGTACTCTGTGCGGGTGGGCTGCTTCTGCTTTGAGGATGCTGCTGTCAGATAGGGGGCTGACTAGCGGTCCCTTCCCGCCTGCTCGGCCACCTTCCTGGTGGGCCATCAGGGACAGTAACTCCATTCATCCGGGCCTTGGTTCCCCTCATAAATGGGGTAAGCATAGCCCACCCACAGAGCTGTGCAGATTGAGCGAGACCGTGCACAGGCCCCACCAACGGCCGGCCGGCAGTCGCGAAGTCGCACAGGTCTCGCAGAGGAAGAGCTGTGGGGAGCACACCTCCTCCCAGACCTCCCACATGGCGAGTCCCACCGGGCCCGGGAGGCTGCTGCTGGCGCAGGGCCACCAGTCTGAGCCGGTGGGAAGCAGTTCAGTCACGCCAGTGGGCCTGCCTATCTAGACAGCAGAGTGGCCGATGACGGGGTCTGGCCCAGAGGCCAAAAGAGGAAGTGAAGGGGACTTTGCTCCAGGGGCTCATGGGGTCTCTTGCTGGGAACCTGCTGATACCCCTCATGTGAGCACCCATCATCCGCTGGGGACACGGCCTGTCTCTGGGCAATGTGTCCTCTCAGCCCAAGCCCACTACAGCCCTCAGAGCGGTCCACTAGGAGGCTGCTCCAGTCACAGACAGGGCCATGAAGCAGGCTTGGGGGCCTGGGGTTGACCCCGAGTCTGTGTGCCAGTCTGATGAAGGGCACCAGCCAGAAGCCAAACCCGGTGCTCCCCATCCAGTGCTCTTACACACTCTCTCACAGATCCTCCTCCTCCGGAAGCCAGGCCAAGAGCCTCGTGCAGAGGGAGCTGGTGCGGGGTCTCACCCCTTCCTACACTCCCAGCATCCTGTGCAGGTGAGGCCGGCCCAGGCCGCTGCTCTGGGAGGCGGGCAAGCCGGGGTCTGTTGCTGTCTGACCTAGCTGTGTTCACGGCCCTCTCTGAGCTTCTCTCTCCTTCTCTGTAAAATGGGGACAACAATGTTCATTTTATAGATTCAGGGTAGGGGAAAAAAAGGAAAAAGCTTTGACAATACTCAGAAAAATGTAGGTAATGAGCCTTCCAGAGCCCCACATCTCCTGCCTTGCTCACTTCTCAGCCACACCCCTGCCGCTCCCCACTTCTTCAAGCCCTGGAGACATGGCATAGGGCACTGGGTATGCTTGGGGCCACCCCAGCAGCTAACAGCTGGCAGGGCGGGGCATATGTGAGCTGAGCCCACAGCAGGGGTTTGCTAAGAGGGCAGATGTGCAGTGGCCCTCATGCCACCCACTGGGTCAGCTGGGCCCACCCAGCGCCAAGTCTCCATGGTCATGATCCAGAGTATTGGAACTTGGGGATCATGAGGCCCATGCAGGGCGGCCGTACTGCACACGTCGGAGGGAGGCTCTGTTCCTGGTGTCTGGACAGCTCCCTGCCATTGTGCCGGGCAGGCTGCCACTTTGGTGCCACGTGCAGGCAAAGGCTCACCTCTGGTTGGGGCAGAAGACCTGGCCTGGTGCCAGCTCCTCCACCCTCCGCGGAGTCAGGCAAACTGGTAGGAAAAGGGAAGGGACAGGGGTGAAATACTACTTGCTCAACACTTAGCCCTCTCATCTGTTTCACATCCGTGACAACCATAGGAAACAGCATCTCACCACTGTACACATCAACCAGGCGGCAAAGCCCAGCTCTGTCCGACTGCAAAGCTCAAGCCAGCTCCGCCATCACACCGCTCCCCACCCTGCCCCAGCTCTCCATGCCTCAGCTTTGTCATCTGTAAAATGGGTCTAATCCTTCCCTGACCTCACAAGTTGCTCCACTTCTGAGCAGTTAAAGCTCAAACCAGTTAATGGACATATCATACATTGTAAAATACAAAGCACAGTAATAGCAGCTAAAGATAACGTGTGCCCGAACTTTACAGAGTACACACTTCCCCGCCTGTCATCTGGTCTGAGCCTAGCAGCAATCCCAGGGAAACGGTCTGTCGCCCCAGCTGACAGATGAGGAATTAGACACGGCTCAGAGAGTCTAAGGAGCATGCTCAAGGACACAGCTTATCAAAGAAAGCCGAGACTAACATAACCAAAGGACACAGACAACAGTGTGGGAAAAGGCCAGAGGGGGGCGGGAGTGGGGAGGAGGGGGTCAATGGGGGAAAAATGAGGAACATCTGTAATACATTCAACAATAAAGATTTTTTAAAAAAGAAGAAAATAAATAAATAAAAAGAAAGCAGAGACTAAATCTTCATGTCTGAATAAGACCATGCTTTTTCTACTGTGCTCAGTAAGGATGGAGGGTCTGAGGGGCCTCCTGTTTAGCCACCCAATTTAGGGGCTCACACATAAGATGGGAGCCCCCAGGGACAGGGGCTGTGTCTGTTTTGTCCAGTGTTGCATTGTCAGCGCCCTGCCTAGGACCCACCATACAGTAGGTGCTTAGTAATATGGTTAAATACGTGAAAGAATAAGTAGATAAATAAATAAATGGAGAGTGAGGTCTAAGAGGAGGAAAATCCTGGCCGAGGCGTCAGCCTAGAAGGCCTCTCTGACCCGGGTTTACCCTCAGCCAGGTGCCCCCAGGGAGTGAGCAGTAGAGTGGCCTCCCCACGGGGACCAGAGCAGCAGGGCTGAGCTGAGCCAGCCCCAGGGACAGGGAAGAGCCATGAGCAAAAGCAGCCTCCCCGACACCCAGCCGCCCAGCTCTGAACCTCAGACTCGGGTCTCCAAACCCGGAGCATTCGGCAGCCTCCCGGGCGAGCCTCCTCCCTGGCCTGGCTGGGAGTGCGGGCCAGGTGGCCCACCTGCAGCTGTGGCCTGGACCCTGTTGGGTCAACATGGCTGTGTGTACAGACAACACCCACCCCCTACGCTCAGGCCACCCTGGGGGGGGGGGGCAGACTCTGGGCCAGAGTGCCCTGAGGCCTGGCCTGGTTCCAGCTGACCACTGACTCGCTGTGTGAACAGGTAGGTCACTGGTCTCAGGGCCGCCCAGGCCTCTCCTCCGAAAAGCAAGGAGTCTGGCTGGAGAGTTCCCAAGGCCCTCCCTTCCCTCTAATAGTTGGGTCAAGTCAAGGCCCCACCGTTGGACAAGTGGCCTCTGTTGAATCCTATTGTCTCTGACCTCTAGGATTCACAAGCCAGTAGTGGAATAATCTCTTACATTCCTTAAGTCAGCATGCATTTTTCCCTTAACTAAGGGAAGGAGGGTGTCCAGGTCCCAGGCCAGCTCACAGACGTCTGTTTTAGCCCCAATATGTCCGAGTCTTAGGAGTGGTGTGGGAGAGCGTGAGCTCCGTAGCCAGCAGGCTTTGCCACTTTCCAGTTATCTAGCCAACCCTACCCTCTTCTGCGAAGGGCACCAGTAGTTCTCACCTTGCAGGGGACAAAAGGGCTGGAGAAGATGCATGCAGGCCCCTGACAATGGGTACACCCAATACTTGGTCGAACGAATATGTACATAATAAGCGCAAGCATGATTCCCTTTCTCAACAGGACAATAATTGGTTCTTGGTACCTTGGTGATGGAAAGCACAGATAAACATATAGAACATAAACAAATATAGAGTATATGTATGGTATTTAAATTTCATAGGGGAGGATTAAGAAAAAAATACCTTAAAAGCCTCCTTGGAGTAAAAATGAAAACTAAGGTTGAGAAACGTTGCCTAATGCAAGATTTTGTCTCCGCCCCCACCCCAGCCCCGAGCCTTTGCACGTGCTCTTCGGCCGGCCTGAACCGCCTCCCTCCGCCCTAGCCGCTTGGGGAGAGTGCGCCTGTGCACCTGCTGTCCACGGGGCTGCGTTCTAATACACATCACCCCGTTTCATTCTCCTTGTGTCCCATGAGCTAGCGAGTGGGGGACAGCACAGACTCTGGGTCCAAGTCCTGGCCTGACATACACTACCGGGTGTCCTTGAGCAAGTTACTTAACATCGTGGTGCTCAGTTTCCTCATCTCAAATGGAGTTAATGACCGTACCTACTTCAGGGGGCTGCTGTAAGGATGAAAAGAGTAAATATATGAAAAGCTCTTAGAACAGTGCCAGGCCCATGGTAAGCACTACACAAGTGTTTGCTGCTATTGTTGCTGTTCTTATTATTCCTGTATTATTTCACAGGAGCAAGCTGAGGCTCAGTGGGGTTGCATGATCTACTTGAAGTCCTACTGCTAGTTAATGATAGAAGCAGGAGAGGATCCCAGTCAGTCTGACACCTGTGCCTGGGCTCTTAGCCCCTGAGCTACTCTGCCCCACACCATGCTGAGCTCAGCTTTCTACCTCTTCCCAGAAGCCTTCCTGGATTTCTCCATGTCTCCACAGGCCTGTATCTCTGCCTCTTTCACAGTTCTAACTACTCTGATTTGCCAACATCTGCTTCTGTCATGGGCTTTCAAACTCCGCCAAGACTGTGCTGATCAGCCTTTAAGTCCCCAGGGCGTAGACAAAGCCTGATCCAGAGAAGGAACCCCATGAGAGTTTGCTGAATAAATGGACAACGATGGAATGCCCCGCCTGCAGCGATGGTGGCCCCAACCTGCTGCCCCCACCATTCCCTGCTCACCTGCAGCTCTCCTTCTCCGAGGGCTCCACAGTGAGGTAGTAAAGGTCTCTGGAGAGGCGATATGAGTCCCATCGGGGTGGCCCCCAGGCTCTGTCCTTGATGGACCACAGCAAGCCAAAGAGCAGCAGCACGCCACCTGCCCCGCAGCAGAAGAAGCTGAGGGACCTGAGCAGGAGCCTGGGGGCCTCAGGCACAGGGCGCCCAGTGGGCGGGGCCGGCTGACTGGGTTGAACACCTGTATTCTCTTCACTCCACCACGCGTAGCAGAGTGTCCCAGTCACCAGAAACACTGTGCCGCTGACCGTCATGCAGTAGCGGATGGTGGAGGCCACTCGGCCCCTGTCACAGTTCTGGACATGGAGAAAGAAAGAGAAGAAGAAATGGGCATGCAAAAGTCCTGCCAAGTTCTGGAGACCCGGGTTCTGGTTCTCCTCCACCTGAGGACACTGTGCCACCTTGGAGAGGTCGTGTGAGTTCTCGGTGCCTCAGTTTCCTCATCTGTGAAGTGGAGAGGATGCTCCTAACGTTGCAGGGCTGTCGTGAAGGTCACAGTTAATGTGTCTGAGGTTTCGAGCACCACCCGTGGGATCGAGTAGGAGTTCAATGCATGTGGCTGTGTCCACTCCGGGCCCCTCTCCAGGCCTGAGGCCTCATCTGCCTGGTGGGTACAAGACTCCCCACTGTGTCTACCACAGGCTGGGCAGGAGAAGAGTAAACACCCCTTGGGTCTACCAGGCCTGCCGGGATCAGGGCTGGCTGGTTACGCATTGCCTCACTCCACCCAGTCACCATCCCAAGAGGTGTCACCTTCCTTCTCCAGAGGGACACCAAAACCCAGGACAGGAAAGGAGCAAGTGTGAAGGAGGGCACTGAGAAGTCTGAAGGTAAAAGTCATGATATGAAGCAAAACTGTACAAAACAAATGTTCGCTATGGCCTTATTTATAACGACCTTAATTTGGAGAGAGCCAAAATATCCAACTCTAGGGAAATGGTGGGTAAATCATGGCATAACCTCTGGATGGAGTATTAACGACATTTTAAAAGTCAAGCTCAGCCTACATGTTTAACAACAGGAGGGAAATATTTTTTATATCTTTTTCAACTCGGAATACCTAATTATGCATATAGTGTTATCTCAATTAGGTCAAGAAAAAATACACAGGGGAAAAAAAACCTTGGGAGGAAACCTGGCCCCAGATCACACGGACAGGAAGGGGCTGAAACAGGTGAGAGACTTTGCCCACACTCAGGTAAACTGGGTTTCTCAACACTTGAAGAACTTGCTCTGCATAAGGTAACGTATGATGATTTCTACTGTGGGAAGAGGAGAAAATCACAGAAGGGTATAAAAATGCAAAATAGAAATTGTCATTCAGCCTGCTCCCCAGAGATGAGCATGATCCCCTTGTGGATGTTTCCTTTCCATTTCTCCCTCGGCCTCCACACATGATGATGGTGACAGCCTGTGTGTGCTGGGCATTGACACAGGCTCGACACCACACCAAGCCCTTTACAGGTGTCCTCTCACTGAATCCTCACAGCGGCACTATGTCCTGAGGATATGGGGCTAGGAGAGTGACAGTCTGCCGAGGTCAGTGTCAAATTTGAACACGGGTCTACTCTGACTCAAATCCCTGTGTGTGTGCACAGCTAAGATCTATCTGTATTTTTTAGTATATAAAGTTGAGACCTTGCTGTGAAGAGATGTATCTGTAAGTCTTGGACACAGGCAGTTCTCAATCTCTAGAATGCACTGTCCTCCTCAGACAAGCCCCTGTAATCACCCTCAGCTTGTTCTCACAGGTGTGGGCATCTCCCTCTGTGTGGGTCTCCCTCCTTCCCTGGGGGATGGAGGATGTCAATGTGCACTGGATGAAGAACAGCCTGTTCTGTGGCTGTGTGGTGGTTTTCATCATTGCAGATCAGAGCGCTGACTATCAGCAGCAGGTGTCCTGGCCCAGGATTCCCCTGACCTGTTTCAGAGAGGGGTCTTCAGGCAGCTTACTCACCTTGAGGCAGGATAGTAAGAAGCTAGGAAAATTCCTTGGCAAATGGAATGGGGAAACTGAGGCAGATAGCTGCACAAACTGAGCAATGTACAGCCAGATACAAAAGGCCACCTCCCTAGAGATCACATGTAGGCCTCAGCTGTATTTCAGCTCCAGGCCCAGAAAAGCAGCAATGGTTGGTGGGTGATGCCTGGACCAGCTGCAGTGACGAATGACCTCCTGCCTGGTGCTGGCCAATCAGTAGAGACCATGGCCCTGAAAGGGCACACCTGGAAAAGCGGATGACTATTTATCTCCCCTAAGACCTCCCCTAAACTCCCAGCCCTTAAAAACCCTGAAAACAAAGGAGCCGGTCAGTGCTCACTCTCCCTCCCGGAGCATAGCCATGCCTTTCTCTTTCCCCTCTTCTTCCCCCTAGGTGTGCATCTCCTCAGTTCTAAGAGACCCCATGAGATGTGCAACCTGTCTCCCAGGCCCCCTTTTCTCTGACTTTCAGTGGGCCAAAGCAGCACCCTACCCCCAGGCTCTCTCCTGTTGCTTCTGTCCTAAGCCCTTCCTTGCTTCACCGTCCTCAGCTTTCATAAACGTACCCTCATAGCCACCTGGACTCCTGTTGAACTTTCCTGCACAAATTCAAGAACCCACACACTACCGGCAGGCCCTAGGCAGATCCACCAAGGGCCAAGTCCCCTTTCTAGTGACAGCCTCTCACACTGTGTACATGGTACCCTGATGGGGAGGAAAAAGGAGCTCCTTGCCCTGGAGGGAAAAACCCCAGTCCCAGAGAAGTTCTGAACCTGGCATTCAGCCTGCTGGTGGGCCTCCCTCACTGCCCCATACTCCCACACACAAACACTTCCAACTCCTACCACTTGGGGGCCTCTACACCTGTTGCCCTCTCCACCTGGGGAGCTCTCTGTCCCCATCCAGGACCCTTATTTCACAGCCCCACCCCTTCAAGACCCAGCCTAACCTCATCCTCCCAGTTGCCACTCACCTCCCACCAGCCAGAGGAGGCCTTTTCTTACACCCCATGCATTGCTCCTCTGACTATGGCCACTCTGTCAGCCCTGTGATCTTGATCAGGCAGCTCAACATCGCTGAGCTCAAAGTCCTACCTCCCAGGGTTGTGAAAGTTGTGAAGATGAGATGGCAAAGTGGCACGCTGTAAGTGAAGCACAGTGACACAGACAGCTGGACAGAGGGCGGGCCCTGGCTCTGACACTGGGCAGGGTACTTTGCTCCTCCATGCCCCCCTTCCCTCCTCTGTGAAATGGGCACAATAACACTATGTCGTCGTGCTACCGAGAGAACTTTAGGTACCAGTTTGCTGTAAAGAACTGAACCATCTGGTCTAAACAAGAAGTGGCCCAAATCATCTCCACCTAAACTGAGGTCCCGAGCGCCTTGCCCCACCCACGGCCAATCGGTGAGTTAGAACACCGGGTAACAAGGTGAAGAGAAAGGGTCCAGACCAGCTGGGCGTTGGGAGGAGCCAGGATGCTCCGGAAGGGGGGACAGAGGACAGCGGTACCCACCTGGGGCGCAGCCATCACGCGAGGCAGTCAGGCGAGGTCCCGCGTGAGGACCCGGGCGGGGGTAAGGGCATGGTGGCTGTGGACCCAAGGGCAGCGCGACCCTGGGAGCGGCTGTGCAGGCGGGGACGGCCCTTAGGGGGTGGCTCTGGCGACGGTCCCCTAGTCCCACTCTCCGCGCCCCGCAGATGCGCTACGGTCGGGCTCGGGGTCTTGTCCTCGGATCTCGCCCGTCTCCCAGCCAGTGGCGGTCCGTCGGGTCCGTCGGGTCCGTCGGGTCCGCCGCGTCCGCCGCGCCGCCCCGCCCCGAGCGGGTTTGCCCAGCCGACCTCACCGGGCAGGCGCCGGCCAGCCGCGCGCTCCAGCAGCCGCTCCGCTACCGGGTGGGGGCGCTGCGCGGGGAGCCGCGGGGCGCGCAGAGCCTGGGGCTTCGCCCTCGACCCGCGCGGTAACCGGCCCCAGCCCTGGCTTGGCCCACTGCGGCCCGGCGCTCTGGGCCCCGGCTCTAGGCGAGGTCCGCCTCACCTGTCCTGGGATCCCGTCCTCGTGGACCCCTCCCTGGTCCAGCGGACACTCGAGCACCAGCTCCGGCCACTCCGGGGCGGCTCCAGGTGCCACCCCGCCGGCCCCGCCCGACCTTAAAGCGACAGCGCGAGTGGGGCTGGCGGGGTAAAGGCTCCCCAGCACGAGGAACCTGGAACTGTCTGTCCTTGGCTGTCCTGCCCCCAACCCCCCACACTCCCACACACACCGGCAGCGCTTGGGGACGCGGACATCTGCCCGGAGAGCCATCAACGCTCAGAGGGGGATCTAGGATGCCGGAGAGGGATCTAGGGTGCCGGAGCCCTAGCCCCCCTCGTTCCCCTTTTACAGCAAGAGAAACTGAGGCCCAAAGCAGGAAAACCACAGGCCTGAGTGTTCTGCCGCAAACTACTCGATGGAACTGGCTTTTTCTTCTCACAGAGGTCAATCTGAGAGCAAGCCCTGCTGGAGGAGGAAGGATTCTCAGAAATAATGGCCCTCAATGAAGTGCTCCCCCAGCTCCGACCCCAGGTCCCTGCCCCAGGCGTGAGAGGCAGGAGAATGGGGCTAGAGAGGGGCCTCCCACCTGATGTGTGACCTGCTTCTCTGAACCTCCTTCCTCCTGTGTCACAGGAGGGCTGAAGATTCCGACTCAGGACGGGAGGAGAAAGAGTTACACACTTCTGGTTAAGCGCTGGACCATTTAACAAGTGCAGGCTAAGAGCAGTTTTTGTGTCCAGGTGATCTGGACTCTGGAGGGAGGGTCAGCTGTGTGTGTGTGTGTGTGTGTGTGTGTGTGTGTGTGTGTGTATTCTTCTATGGGAAGACCCCTGAGTTGTCTTAGAAAGGTGGGAATGGGTCATAGCGTTCAGGCTGGAGGAGCAGCGGGGGCAACGCCTGGACGAAGTGGCTGGTTAAAGCTTGACAGGTTCACGTGGGTCAAAAGGAGACGATTCCCAGACTGTGGCCCAGCACTCTGGGAGGGGTCCCCCTCACCTCTCCTGGGATCCTCATCCTCGTGGGCCACTGGTCCGGCAGAGACTCGGGCACCAGCTCCAGGGTTTTGAATTCCCAGGGTTTTGTTTTTGTCTTTTCTTGCTGCTCCAATAAGACAGGGTACATGGCCTGAGTCCCCTCACCCATGCCCAGGATTCCCCACAGAGCTGGTAGGGTGCACTCTCAAATTACAATAGCTCTCTTTGTGGATCTCCTTAGTCAATGGTAACCTCTCTGAGGGTAGGGCAGGGACTAGATGTAACTTGGCTCAAGACCCAGCCAGACCCAGCAGGGCCAGGACCACTGGGACTAGGTCCTGATTGGAGCCCAGGGATCTGGCCCAGTTTTTCTGGCCCTGTCTTCCTCTTTCCCACCTTCTGGGAGCTCTGGGGAGCCCCACAGGCTTGGACACATTTGCAGCCCCTTTCTGAGCAAGCAGCCTAGGATGTTCCTTGGCACCAGGTTGAAGACTCAGGAGAATATTGGTCACCAGCTTTTGCCCCAAGACAGTAGAGAAGGGGGCTGCCACTTGCACCCACTCATTACAAAGATTACTAGCCAGCCGTTTTTCGTGTGTGTGTGTGTGTGTGTTTCAGTTATAGTTCACATACAATATTATTTGTTTGTCTTGTTTGTCACTCGGTGACATCATCGAGGCAGAAACAAGTGCCTTGCCTGGAGTCACACAGTAAGTGAGGAGTGGGGAATGGGCGTGGGAAGAGGAAATGCCAAAAGCCACGTCGTTCTGAATTTCCAGACCCATATGCAGAATATCTCCCTTCACAGATAAAGGACAGTTGCCAATGCTGTAAAGGAAGAAAAACATTTTCCTAAATGTAGGCTCATCTGTACAGGCTCCGCCCATGCTCTTACCCCAACCCTCCTGGGCAGGTGGTTCTGGGGCCACAGCCACATTTGGAGAAGCAATGAAAAATAAGCCCTGGAATCAGGATAGAATGAGTTATATAATATGCTTAGCAACAGTGCTTGGCTTATAGTAAGTACTTAGTGAAACTGGCTGTTGTTGTTGTTGTTATCATATCTGTAAGTAGAAGAGAAGCAATGAGAGAAACCAGCATCTTGGCAGAACATCCTCCCTCCTTCCCCCACCCCCAGGACCGGGGTCCAGCATCCTTTTTCATCACAACCTAGAAAACAGCCAACTACTATAATATTTTAATGTAACTCTTTCCAAATGTGTACATTTTACAAAAATCTGGTCATACATTTTATAACCTTTTTAATGGCTTTTATTTTCCTTTCACACAATTCATCATGAACATCTTCCCATATCTCACGACATTCTAGTAATTCACTGACATATCTGGCTCCCCTATAGACAGCATCTTGAGGGCACACATGGACATCTCGTGTCCTATCCCCACCCCACCCTCCTCATACCATCTCAAAGCTGGTGCACAGTAGGCCCACCACGAATGTAAGTTGTGAACAGCATGGGATGTACCATAGTGGTGGGTTGCTCTGTGCCCTGCCTAGGAGCACAGCTCATTTCCACAGGGAGGGAGGGAGACTCAGGGGGTGGGCATCTCAAAGTCTGCCAGCACTGCAGCCAAGGCTGGTCACGGTCTAGCGTGGGAATATCTTTAAAGAAAGATCTCAGCACATTCATTAATGCCAACTAGCAACAGGATTGTAAGGTATGGCTTCCTGAAAGAGGGGGTTTAGGCCAATGTCCTCAACCCAGGGAGATTTTGCCTCCCCCCGACCCCCAGAGAACATTTGGCAATCTGTGGAGACATTTCTGGGTGTCATAACTGTGATAACTGTGGTGGGGGGGACGCTACTGGCATCTGAACATCCCACAGTGCACAGGACAACCCCTTAGAGAATGATCCCATCCAGGTGTCAAGTGCCAAGGTTGAGAAACCCTGGTTTATAGATCTCAGTTAGGCTTTGGAGACTAATTAGTTCAATGGAGGCCATCCCATGTTCTGCAGAGGGAAGGGAAAATAAATATAAGTCTATGCTATAAAGAAATATAAGAGAACCCTGGCCAGTCTGGCTCAGCAGTTCGAGTGTCAGCCCGCGGACCAGTGAGCTGCGGATTCGATTCTGGTCAAGGGCTTGTATCTAGGTTTCAGTTTGTCCCTGGCTCTGGTGGGGATCATGCGGGAGGCAACCAGTCGATGTGTCTCTCTCACATCGATGTTTCTTTCTCTCTCTCCCTCCCTCCCACTCTATCTGAAGATAAATGGAAAAATATCTTCGGGTGAGGATTTAAAAAAGAAGAAGAAATATAAGAGAAAATAAATCTGAGATTCTAGAAATTCAACCCTGTTTTCCCACATGCCATAGAAAAGTCTCAGAAACACTAATGTGTAAAACCAGACTTCCCACCCTGGCCAGTTTGGCTCAGAGGTTAGAGCATCAGCCTGCGGTCCAGAGAGACCCAGGTTCGGTTCCCACTAAGGGCATGTACCTCGGTTGCAGTTTGTCCCCAGCCCTGGTTGGTCGTGTGGGTGGCAGCCACTCGATGTGTCCCTTTCACGTCGATGTTTCTCTCTCTCTCTCTCTCTCTCTCTCTCCCCCCTCCCTCCCACTCTGTCTGAACAACAACAACAACAACAAAAAACGCAGAAAAATGTCCTTGGGTGAGGATGAAAAAAAAACAAAAACAGACTTCCCAGCATGTCTCCTGTTCATCAGGAGCAGAGGGTGGAGTGGGCACAAGCAGGCAGGGACCCTGGCCCCCTCTCCACCAGTCAGAACATGTGCCCTTTTTGATGTTCGAGTTCTAGGTCAATTTTTTTAGGGAGGAGGGAAGATCCTAGGGCTGGGGAATGGGCGGAGAACAGTTTTGAAAACCAATGGTCTGTGTTGATTTCTGTGTTTACAGGCCCAGGGAAGGAAAGTGACTTGACTGAAGTATAACAGAGAACTAGACACAGATTTCTGACATCCAGAGGCCTTTTCATCAGCCTCATAGCCACTCTACGGAATCACGATCTTTGGGCTAGGAGTCAGGCACCTGAGGTGGGGGGTTGGCAAACTATGTCCCACAGATCAAATCGGGCTCACTGCCTGTTTTCATGTGGCCTACTAACTAAGAAGGGTTTTTACCTTTTTAAAAAATCATTGAAGACAATCCAAAAAATAAGAATATTTCATAATACACAAAAATTTTACAAAATTCAAATTTTAGTGTATTGGAATCCAGCCAAGCTCATTTCTTACATACCACTTTTGTGCTACAATGTTAGAGTTAGGAGTTGTGACATAACCCTATAGCCCATAAAGCCTAAAGTTCTTGCTATCTGGACCCTCATAAAAAATGTTTGCCGATCCCTGCCCCGGCCTCTCCTCAGCTCTGCCACTAATGGGCTGTGCCACCCTGGGCAGGTGACCGCACCTCCAGGGCTCCCCGCACTTGTACAATGGTGATGTTTTCTCCACAGGTGGGTGCCATATTGATTTTCTACTGTTTCGTAACAATTACCACAAACTTAGTAATTTAAAATAACACCTACAGTTGACCCTTG